TATGATTGTTTGCCGTGAGGGATTTTTGGGTAACTAGTTTCTTTTTCTGTTATATGATTGTTTGCCAAGAGATTTTCAAATTGCATGTTGTTGCGAGAGATTTTTGGACAATTGAGTTCAATGAATCGAACTGGATTCTGTCGAACTTCAATCTTGAAAATAGAAAGAAATGAATCGAGCTGCGTTCTGTCGAACTTTAATCTTGAAAATGAAAAAAACACCCTGTCGAACTTCAATCTTGAAAATGAAAAAAACACAACAGTAACAGATGGCCAAAGGAGCAATTGGTAGTGGTGATGTGGGACCCATTGGATGGATTTTGTGCGTTTTTGCCAGATAGCATGTGACATGGCAAAAATTGTATGCATGTCATCACTTTTTTAAGTTTTGCTTTTCACATCATCAAAAAAAATATAAAAAATGCCACCTCAGCAGGATTAACGGCTCAAATTAACAGAAGGACTAATGGAGTGCATTTCGTATAGTTGAGGGATCAAAAAAGTGCAAAAAATTGTTGAGGGACCAAAAATGTTCATTTTTTAAAGTTAAGGGACCAAATTAAGCATTTAACCACAAAACAAAAAGAAAGGGGGATGGGAAAAGACTACAATGGGGTTTTGAAGCTTTTTGTTCTTGGGTGATTATTATTATTATTTTGTTATATAAAATTGAAAAGTTCCTAAAATTAAAGTATGTGGTAACCATATTATTTGGAAGTTGTAGGGTGCCTAATACCTTCCCCACACTTAATCGACCCTCCGAACTTAGTTAATTTTTACAAAAACCTTGGTAATCTATCCCACCTTATTTGGATAAATGACGACTCCATTCATTTTAGCACATCAACAAATGACTGTGATTTTCAAGCTTGCTTCTGCATCTATGTACTTCTGCAACTGTTTTCTTTAATTAAAATTTTCAAATAACTTAATCATGATTTAAAATTGTACGGTAATTCATTTATAAATAATATAAATTGTTATATCAAGAAAATTTAAACTATGTCAGAAGTGTAAAAAAGCCTCAATGTACTGAAAGTTCTATTTGTTTAATACTCAGAACTGTTTCAATAAGGTCAAGTACTTGAGTTTGTAAGTAACCTCAATTTACTGTAAGGCTAAGTTCTATTTGTGGTATTTCTCATTGTTCTGCTGGCTTCATTTCCTTTTATAACGTCCCAGTTTCTAGCTTTTTCTTTCTGATCATTTTGCTCTGTGCACTCACCACTCTTCTGTTATTCTGGGCCAGCATTAAATAATCAAGACTCAGTTAAAGTATAATGGAAAATGGGAAAGTAGTTAATCCTTTTTTTTTTTTCTAGTCTTCTTAATTCTTTCATTTTTTTTGAAAGCTTCTTGAATGTTTTTGAAGGATCATCACAGAAATGGGAAAAACTCACCATGTCACTGAGTGGTATGGCATTGGCTGCCATAACCAGTTCATCACGTGGTTGTATATTTGCTCTTAGACACTCAGGCACTTGTCGTGCTGCTACTGCAGAAGGTTTGTTCAGAAGGCTAGTGGCTTTCTCAGAGATCTATGTCAAACAGACTCTGATGCTTGCATGTAAATGTTGCAGTTGCAAACTTGCAATCAATAAAACACAATGGTCTTACCTCCCCTGTACAAAGTACAGGGCGTCCTTCACCTGCAGCCTTGATTGCATCAAATTTGTTCTCATGTTTAGCCCTCAATCGTTGAGCAGCCAACGAGATGAAGCACCCTTTATAGAACTAAGAAACAACAAATAACTCAAAAATCAAATCATATATGCATGTGAGTGGAATATTGCAACTGAGATAAGAGTCCTAATGGTATTGTTTGGATTTGGCCATGGTAAAACCTGTTCAACCACTTGCTGATTTTTTTCCTTCCTTTTTAAGGGTAACGTACGCAGCAAAATGTCGCTCATCAAGCAAATGGAATAGAATAAACAGCAAAATCTACCTGACAATAAATTGACTCGTGGATAAGAGCATAGAGTGGGTTTGAATCAAAACCCAATCAATTGTCAAACTGTTCAAACAAAACGAATCAAGATTAATTCCGAGAATGTAACTTGAACTTCCAAAATATAAATAAGAAACTAAAAAGTACCTTACAGCATTCAAGAAGTAGAAACTAATCTTCTTAGGTACTCCTGGGACTATTACAGGATCCCAGACCCTCTCAAACCTACAGTTGTTTTTAAGAGATTACAAAAAGATGTGGATGCAGTGACATAACACCAAAATCTGAGCTTTCAGAAGAAAAAAAAAAGGTGCATAATTATGATGCTTACAGATAATGAAGGCGCTCAAAACCTGCACTAGATCCTAAACCAGAAAGACCAAGAAGTTGCAGCCCCCTGGGGGTCAAGATGCCCCCAGATGGAAGAGGAACCTGCACAAAATGGAGTTTACATTAAAAAGATTTAGCTAAAATATCAGCTTTGAGTAAAGAACCAGGATCAAATGCAGACAAGCCTCACCCCACCCCCTTCAGATTCTGCCAAATAATTTACAACTTCACGAACAACTTCAATATCCTGAGGATACCTCTTGTAGTTGTTTTCATTCTGACGAGCAACCTGCTCAAAGCAAGCTCCATAAACAGTATCTGCAGTGCATCCATCTCCAATTGGAGGTATTCCTCCAGTCAGAAGCACTTGTTTCAATGCTTGTGGTGCAAAACTCAAATAGGTGATGGCACAAAAACCTCCATAGCTCTGCCAGAAAGAGTGAGAAAAGAGTAAAAACACAAAAAGTTATAAACTCACAGCATGCATATTGATTAATTGATCATCACTAGACGCTCCTCATGGTCATATGAAATGGTGAAATGCACAAACAAAAATGTCAAAATTGAACAATTATTTTAATACCTGGCCCAAAACTGTCCAAGTTCCAGAACCAGGAACAAGACGAACACGGATAAACTCAGCATCATTGACTATACTGTCAGCACGAAAATGTTTCAAGTAATCAGCCAAATCCCGGGCAGACTTAAATTGCAGCATAGACGATGTTGTCAGCGGAGTTGATAATCCTGTTCCTCTCTGCAAGAAGAAACAAATCATCAACCCTCAATAACAACAAGCACAAGTACTCCATTTCATCAAATACGCTTCAAGGAACCCATGCCTGATCCATTAATATAACATGAAACTCCTCACAAGCTTTAAGTATCCATCCACTGCCTTCGGTTGGTCTCGGGGATTCAAAACCCGGTCCACCTTGCAGAAACAGGAGGTATGGCAGTGGTTGATCTTCTTTACCAACTGCAAAACAATTCTACATTAATCAGCACATATACTACCACTCTTCTAATTTCATATGCTGAAAATCCTCAATTCAGATTCCTCTTTAGTCGACTCATATGGGTTTCTTTTTCTTTTTTTTGGGAAAAAATACTAACTGCATTAACAGAATAGACAAGTCAGCATCCAAGCACACTCAAGAATCCAATTATTTCCAACTTCCAAGGACTAGGAAAATGAAAAACTTAACATGTCCTGGAAAAAGGAAAAATAAAGCCAGGTTGACTTTAGCACTTCTACTTCGACATTCTGGGACCAATTCGAGAAAAGAAAACACAATTCGCGATATTTCAACATAAAACAGTGATTTAACAGAAATAATTCAACTTTAATTTGATCGCAGGAGGTGGCCCCGTACCAGCAACGACTTCCCGAGTGAAAATGGAGATCTTTAAGGAAGTAGCGGGATCTCTGTAATTCAGAGGAACAGTGAAACGGTGATCTCGGAGACGGAGATCTTGTACTGAGTACCACTTCCCGGCGGCGTGTTCCGGCAATGACTCGCCCGATGAATCGACTTTGGGTGCTGCCATAGCAGTGGTACGGCACGAGTTCCGGCGATAATGGGAGTTGAGAAGTTTGATTGCCGGAGTTTGTCGGTGAGACACAATGCGTGAAGATAACGAAGAAAGAATGCCGTCCAATACAAGAGGTTTTGTCCAGCGGGGAGGCGCGTGCGTTACCAACATTTTTGGGAGAGTGAAGACATAGAAACTCTCCTACTAAGTTTCAAAAATAAAATAAAATTAAAATTAAGTGGTTAATAGGTGGTTAATAGGTTAAAGCATGTTTAATTTGGTTTATGAGAGTTTTTGCTTTTTTTTGAATTCTGTTATGAGTAATAAATTTAAATTTTTATTAAAAAAAATTTAAAAATTATTTTTGGAGATAGAAAAAAGTGAGTAAAAA